TTTTTTTTTTTGGAGCATGTTTCGATTAATGCGTGTCATCCTTGCGCAGGGGCCATGCTAATCTTCTCTGTATCGTTCCAATTTTGACGGATGTCCCGAAGGACAAAACAGAAACATTTGATGAGGGAGAAGTGAAGGAAGGTCACGAGTGGCTCACCAACAAAGGGCCTCGCCGCATGGCGCACGAAACGAAAACGAAATGAGTGCATCTGCCCACGAAAGGTGGCAACATACACTCGTTACTATTTATAGCAAACCGATGAACCTGGCCATTTTCTGCGGAAAGATGCACTCGCTTCGTTTTTCGTTTGGTGTGCCGTGCGGCTATGCCCAAAGACAAAAACAGAAAAGGAAACGTTGAGCTGCCCTTGGAACGAAAGGATGGCGTTGCTTCCTTTCTGGGAGCTTGCCCATACGGGCCAGACCTTTTTTTTTTTTTTAGGGCCATACCTTTCTATTTGGCCCAGCCTTTAGGGCCTCGCCACACCACTCTTGAAACCCGGTTTTAGAGAGTTGCAGCCTTCGCCACACAGCCACTTGAGAGTTGTGGCCGGAAAACTCTTTCGAGAGTTGTCAGACCTTGTTTCGAGAGTCGACTCTCGAAACTCCTAAACGCCCAGCCTGCAACTCGTGCGTTTTCAAGCGTCCTCGGCGGAACCCTTGAGGGACTCTCGATTTTCGAGAGCTGTCTGGCCGTTATCCTGACTCCATTCGGAAAAGACAAAGCTGTACGACTGTCGTTTTTCATCTTTTGTCCAACACCATCGCCCTTTCGAGAGTGCTGTGTGGCCAAGGCGCCTCAACTCTCGAAAACCCTACTCTCGAAAAAGTCTCACACCTCTCGAAAAATTTTCGCCTTTCCAGAGTGGTGTGGCGAGGCCCTTAGTCCGTATGTCGCTATAATGACCGGGCATTCTTTTTTTTTTCTCTTTTTTTGTTTTTGTTTTTTTGACCGGGCATTCTATTCGGGTGAAGACGGTAGGGCTGCAGGTAAGAGCAGCCACCAGCCGCACCACTAACACTGCAGGGGAGGCTCCATCTATTGGTGGGGACCACCACGTGCTGGAAACCGGGTCCCCAGCCTCCCTGAACAATGTGTTTGTGTGTGTGAACAATGAATAGACATGCCATTGTAATGACAGCAAGCTACTGGGCTCACCGACAAAGTGTGAAGTTGGGCAGGTAGAGCTACACAGCAGCCTGAGTGGCTGGCCGACATGACAGCCTAAGGATAGAGATAGTATACCCAGAGCTCTTGGCTGAGGAGCATGCGCATACGACCAGGCTCACAGAAAAAGAAATGCTGAGCTCTGCTATGGCAAACCAAAGGATGGGAATCTTCTTCAGTAACTCTCTAGGGATTGACTCTGAGACCGTACACACACTACCTTCGTGACAGGAAAACTTCCATTTAGTCAAAATGGACATTTTTAATTTTTGGAACAAAATTGAAACGGAGTTTTTTGGCCGAAAGCTCTTCCAAATTTGCTGCTCCTGAGGGTCTGGCATTCTGGATGTATGTGGACTTAGCTTGAGACCATGTGCCGGCTCACATGCAATCGTCTTGACTGCCACAGCCATGGTCAGTGAATCATACCCTGACATGCTTGGAGCAGACACCATCTGGGAGAAGAGCACTTTCTTTTCTTTTTTAGAGTTTTCTTCCTCCATTTGTTTGGTCATGAAACCGTTTTTTGCATTTATACTCCCTACTTCATGCTGCCACCCACTCGTCCCCCACCCGTCCCACACCCATCACACTAATCCAAATACATGGGTAGTGGGATCTCCCTCCAGGAGCCAAGTCCCACTTACACCGTTGACTTGAACTAGCTCAACCGTGTGACACATTTTTTGCTAATTAAAAATGTAGAACAAATGCGAAAAAAGAGAATCAAATGCTGCTGAAATCTTTCATGCCTATTTTCCGAACAATTAAATGAAGAACCAAATGCCACTGAAAGCTTTTGTCCGTATTTTCAAAGAAGTAAAACAGAGAAGTAAAGCAACCCTCCGCGAAACTCTCCTCGCACAAGGCAAAGTGGGAGACAGGGACCTCACTGGAACGCAAAAAGATCGTGGCCAGCACGGCTGGCTTGGTGCATTCACATCCCAAATAGAGGAAACGAATTTGGGGCTGCAAGGCCAAAGACAGCATGAATTCTCTCTGTCAGTGTCCTCCAGGGCTGTCACAGTGCCCTCCCCACGAGGAGGTAATGATGGCACAATAATCATTGAGCTCTATGACTACTTCGCTACAAGTCAGCTAGCTCACCGTCCACGCGAGGCCCACTGCCTCTCTCTGCACCTCTCTCCACGATGTTTTTTTTTATATTTATTTTACAATTGT